GCAATATTATTCGGCCTTTAAAAGGAAGGAAATTCAGATACATACTACAACATGGATGAAACTTGAGGCTATGCTAAGTGAAAAGCGCCAGACACAAAAGGACAAATACTGTGTGATCCCACTGACATGAAGGTCTAGAATAGAGACAGCAAACAGAACGGTGGTTACAGGCGTAGTTGAAAGGGGCTTGTTAAGAATTTTTTTTAAATAACATTTTCATGGCTCTTAACACTTAGGAAATTCCAAGAGTTTTAGGAGCTCTGTGCCAGGAACAAAGACCAAATATACGTTCCCTGTAATAAATCACAAGACCACAGAAGGATTTACTGAGCCCCTAACATGAAGGTTTCCTACAAGTACATGACCTCAAAGCCCTTCCCAGAGGATATCCAAACCAACCATTCCCATGAGGCCTCGTTCACCACAGTCAGAGAAGCCTCCTAGGAGAGCAGAGCACCAACCGTGACATCTCAACATCACCAAGAGATCTCAGAGCTTTGGAGAATGAGGGGAAACTCCTTTTTACAAAACAGTGCTGACTGGTGCTGGGAGGGAAGAGGTATGGGGGCACCGATTGTGCTGGTCTCACAACCTCTCAGGTCACCTTTCTGGGGTGTATGGCTGCTTGCCTAGCAAGTGTGGCTGATGCCCCTGCCTTACTGCACCAGGGTCTCCCCCTTCTCAGCTGCTGCCGGTCACAGGGAGCCTGCCGGGAGCCTGCTCAGCCTCTCCAGCACAAACACCTAGAAGACTGAAGGGGTTTCACCCTGGAGCACCCTTGACCAATGGGCCATGGGAGTCAGTGGATAACAGTCCCCTCTTCAGTGTCCCAGGTGGATGATGCAGAGGTACATGCAATAGCTCCCCAGAGTCCCTGCCCAGATTAAGCACCAGTGGCCATCGCGGGAGCCGGCTCAAGCACTCCCTCTTGAACTGGCTTTCCTTCCTTCCCTTTGTCACTATTCCCTTGGACGTTCTTCCACTTCTGTTCCCCAGGATACCTTTCCAAAATAAACTGCCTGGGCCCAAGCCCTGCCCTGGATCTTTCAGCTGACCCAGCTAAGACCAGGCTTCTGATAAGCTCTCCACCCCACAGAGGTGGGGAGGGGTGGCCCAGCTCCTCCCAGAAGTAATGCTTGGTAGGAGGCTTCACGCCTACTCCATGTTTTAAAACTACCAGTTAAATGGGTAACAGAAGAAAATATGGCAAACTATGGAAGACAGACTGTAACTAACTGCTGCTGTGTATGACACACGCTCTCAGGAATAATGGAGAGTCAGAGGAGAGGATGGAGTCTGCAGCGGAACGGGGAAGGTGAGGAAGAGCTCTGACAGATGATCAAGAGCGGAAGGTGGTCCCGGGAAAGGAAACAGATCTCACGCATTGAAGACCCAGGGACTGGCCCGCCTGGAGCTGGCAACCTGGAAACTGAGGAGGGGTGGGACAAAGTTCACTGCGATGAAGGAGGGCTCGACAACACGGGGATGAGAGCGGATTTTAAATGGTGGCCCTTGAAGACTTGTGAGCAGAAGTGTGAACCAGTCTTCCCACTTAACCACACAAAACGTTCTGCATAACCCCTGACAACCACACACTCAGGTTTACAACCACGACTGACTCTCTTCATCACTTTCTTTTCTTTCTACAGTGATTATCAACTGGCCAGGCACACTTAACATATTAATTTGTTTAATCCACAAAACAACCCCGTGAGGTAGGTTCTATCATTAGCCCCATTTCACAGATGGAGAAACTGAGGCACATAGAAGTTACATAGCTGGGTGACAGAGCTAGGACTCTGCCTATTTGGCTGCTTCTTTCACATGTGTCCCCCATAATCAATGAAGTCATCACATTCTACATAATACCACATGATTCCTCTCCCAAAGTTTCCCATATGTTGTGCCTTACCATTAGCAGAACCTGTAACCAAATGCAATTCTTACATTTCCTATACACCAGATGCTGGGCAGGCTACTGAGGACCCAAGATGCACAGTCCCCACTCTCCAGGAAGGTCACATTACAGATCTTGCAAGGTGAGCCAAGTCATGGAGAGGTGAATCTACAGGTCAAGGTAGCAAAGTAGGTCTGGGATGAAACCAATTTGGCAGATGAAAAAAACAAATTCTCACTCATGCCCGGGAACTGTTACTGAGCTAAGCCCTAGAAGGTAAGAAGGAAGGAAGGACAGGGACACTGATATGAGTTATCATGCCATCCCACTCAATACTCACACACACAAAGAGGAGCACAGCAAAGGTGCACATGGTAGATACATAATAAAAATTTATCAGCTCAGTCTTCCTCTAACACCAGCGTAAATCACATTACTGTAAATAAATCACATTACTGATTACAGGTACATAAAATCAAATCCTCTTTGCCCTGGCCAGTTTGAGTGTTGCCCCGAGGACCAAAGAGTCTCAAGTTTGATTCCCACTCAAGGGGGTCAAGGGCACATACCTCAGTTTCAAGTTCAATCCCAGCCCTGGTTGGGGTCTTGCAGGAGGAGTCTACCAACTGATGGTGTCTCTCACATCAATGTTTCTGTCTCTCCCTCCTTTCCTCCATCCCTCCCTCCCTCCCTCCCACTTTATCTAAACAAATGAATGGAAAAATATCCTCAGGTGAGGATTTAAAAATAAATAAACATCAGATCCTATACTGATATTCAAAAACCCCATCTTCTACTCTCTACTGGGTTCTTACTCAGTCTTATTAAATCAATCTTTTCCTTCAAATACATTATAAGCAAATAAGAAAATAATATTCGCAGTTTATGTGATTACACATGTGATTTACCTTGATTGGAATGTTGATCTCCTTTATTTATATCCATCATTATCTGTGACCTTTTTCAAAAGTATCCAAAGCAAGAATGACTTTTTTTTCCCCACTCACATGGTTTTGGTCTTTTCTCTACAACAGTCCTACAGCTCTTGTGGATTGAAGTTTCTGGTGTGTTTGACACAGATGAATTTTGCTCTGCATGATTCTTATAGCCATGCCTGTAAGAGCTGGCACATAGTAGGTGCTCAAGAAACTTTTCAGGATTCATGATGTTAAGTAAGAACAATGGGGAAAGATCTCACATCTTCATGCACCATGCTTTAATAAAACTTGTTATAAACTCTTCTTTCTCCTCCTCCACCAAACAGATAATAAAATATACTGATTCATCGGCCTTGTAAATAAGCACAGTCTTCCCCAAGGAACTACTATGACATGAATGAAATCATCATTTTACATTGGACAAGATGCTTCTAGAATAGTGTTTGGCACACAGTACATTCTCAATAACTATTTGTAGAAGTAAATTAAAATCATCAGCTTTTTCACACCTGCTATACACTATATAGTAAGGTAAATATTTCCAATAAAAACTGTGTAAAAAAAAAAAAAAAATGTGAAGATCAACCCAGACCAAACACAGAAAAAGAAGTTTTACCCACTTGACATGTTGTGCTCTCCTAAAAGACTTAAGACACTTTTCCCTTCCTGGAATTCACAATCTGCCAGTTGCTTAAGTGAGGACCATCACCCTTCTGCACCCTTAGGAGCTGTTAGTGGAAACCTGCCCAGGACTGCACATAAAATCTGAAAGTGGCATTTTCAAATACTTTGTGGATAACAGAATTTAATGCCATTGCTGACAGTCACTTTAAATAATGTGATCACAATATGCTAAGCATTAAATACAACCATTTCATTCCACTCTACATAGACCTTTTTGAAAGAGAAAATAAGTAATGAACATATAAGTGAGATTTTTATCCTCCAAATGACCTGTAATTAGCATAAAAGAAAGACTAAATGTCACAGAGAGGATACTAATTCTGGTGCTCCAACAATGTATAACAAAAATGCTTTGAAATCAGCCAAGTAACCCACAAGACACTTTGGGAAATTTGCCACTCATTGGGTTGTTGTTTTTTTGTTTTGTTTTGTTTCTTTCTCCAACAATAGTCTACATAATATGAATAAAATGTGTTAGTGTCAGACTGTTGTAAACCTGCATCAGTCCCTCCGATCCATGCACCTCCCGGTTACACTGAGATCTGCCGGGGTGACACATGAGATCTAAAGTGGGTGGATAAAAATAACCTGGTCCTCAGAAAGACATGATAAACGCCAGACAGCTGAGTCACTTTGAAGCCCATTTTGACTCCTGAAAGGGACATTCACCCTCCTTTTCCTTCTCACACATATACATACAACCTGGTGAAAACCACCATCAATACCCTGGGTGAAAGACAGGGATCCGTCTTAACTTCCCCCTCCAGTCTCTGAGGTCACGACTGGAGATTGAACTTTTAATAATTTATACTAGAGCATTTCAGTTTAAAGGAGGAAGGGGAGAGGGTTAAGAAAACCATATTAATCCAGGAGACCCCCTATTTCTGCTGCCCCAGTACAGGTACCGGAAGGTTTCTTCTGACATTCTTATGGAAAGAAAAGGAGTGGGAAGAAATGGAAAGTGGAGGAAGCAAAGCTCCGGGAGGAAATTAGGCTTGTCCAGGAGGGGGAATCCCTGGGCAAAGCAAACGGTCCAAGAGAAAGGCTGTGGGTGTCGGCAGTCCCCCGTGCAGCTCTGCGCCCTCCGCTCTCGCCCCAGGGAAGACGCAAACCCTCCGCAGCGCGCAGTCCGGACCGGGGAACTCTTCCGTTCGATTTTTCAAACGGTGGCGGAGCTGTGGGCAGGCTGGTGGGACTTGAGGCCCTGCCAGCCTAGAAAGGCTGGCGGAGCAAAACCTCCGGGCGACCCAATCTTCGGCTTCAGGCAGCGCCGAGTACCCAGCAGGCGCTCACTAAGTGCTTGCCAAACTGCAGTCCCCCTGAGCCAACTCCGCCGCCCGGCGGAGGAGGTCCCCGGCTGCCGCTGCGCATCTTCTGCTCCCGCTTCACGTGCCGCCCGGGACCCCAGCTCGCCGCCGCCCAGGCCGCTCGCGCCGCGACCCTCCCCCGCGGTGCGGGGAGCGCTGCCGAGCCTCACTCACCGGCGAGTCGTAGGAGAAGGCGCACTCGTTCTTGTAGACCCTGTCCCCGGACCTGGGCACGCGAATCGTGGGCATGTGGGGCACCAGCAGCTCGCCGATGTCTCCTGCAGCCATCTTCCTGCCGCCGCTGCCGCTGGCGCCCGGCACGCCGAACAGGGCGCCCCGGCGCTGCATGGCCGCGGCGCGCACCAGCCAGCGAGCCGGAGTGCTGGGTCTGCCGCGGGGCGACGGGCTGCGCGGGCGACGGCAGCCGAGCCGGGCGGGCGGGGAGCGGGCCGCGGGGCGGGAGCGGGCACGGGGGCCTGGGGCGGGCCGGCGGGGCGGGGGACGCTGCTATTTTTAATCCAATGGCGAATCGCGGGCCCAGCTGCAGCGTCAGGCGGGGCGCTGGGGAGCGCCCGCCGCAGCGCGCCGGGGAGGGGGCGCTGGAGAGGGGCCCTGGGCCGGGCGGGCTCGGCGGCGGGGGCGGAGGGCGCGCCCCGGGGGCGCCGGCTGGGGAGCCCGGTGCGGGCGACGGACGTTTCTTGCCCACGCTGGCGGCCTGCCGTGGGGCACCACCACGGGCTTTAGGTTGCGAGGGAGCAACTCCACAGCAATACAAAGAACAGGAATGGGGTTTTAAAAACCGCTTGATTTTAAAATAACTGCAGATAGAATGGGGACGTCCCCTGATTGGGTAGGGGTGGGACTCCATGTACAAATCTGGACCCTAACGTCGGGCCCAAATCTAAATGTGCGGTTTACACTTCGGTGTCACCCTCACTCGGGTTTGTTCCTCACCGAACATCTAAAGCTCATCGAAAGAGAATAGGATCCCGTGAAGATAGACTATGTGTTTGCTCTAATACAGAATTGTCTTATGTATTGGGGCAAGGGGGTGGTCAAGATCTTATTCGAGTGGGGTGGGGCATTATATTTTTTTCTATCTTTGTACCGGCTTCTGCGTGAGTCCAGGTCCCCCTGTCCAACATTGTATTGCCTGCTTTGGGGATCTTACCGTGCAGACATAATATATTCCTGTCTTGCACTCCAGTTCCTCAAAATAGATAATGAATGGGGTTGGTTGGGAGGGGGGAATAATTTTCTAACAGAGCATGTCTCACAGCATACTCCATTTTCTCAAAAAAACAAAAAACCTCTTAAAACACGGGCTCAATCCATTGAGGTTCCCTTACTACACCCAAGCAAAGGGCAGGATACCCTGTGATTCCTGCCAGTTAATGAAACATAAATAGCAAAAAAAATAGTGAAACTCTTCTCCCAGATCAAATTGTCCTTAAATTCTTTTTTTTTTCTTCTTCTTCTTCTATTGTTTCTCTGTTATTCCTCCTGATTCTGCAGATGTGCTGGTTCTTCTAGGGAGGCAGGAGGGGTACCTGGAATTTGAGGTAAAGGGGACAGACAAATCCTCTCTGGCTTCACTCTTCTAAATTTCAATTCTTTCAAGCAAGGGTCAAGTACACAATACATTCCTGTAGAACCCCCACTTCCTAATGCTACCTGATAGAAATGGAGAAGGAATAGAGGCAGAAAGCAAAAAATTAAACACTATTCCTGTCCCCATCCTTGAGCAGACATAAGGAGTTTTTGCTTTTTATTTATTCTCACCAGCTTTTCACCCTTTAATAAGTAGTAGCTGTGTCTGTTTCAGATTCATGGATGAAGTCTTGCTTGTCCAATTACATAGAAAAACTTGATTCAAAAGCATTCTAAACTTACAATGTTAAATATTTTAGGTTAAATGCAAATTAAATGGAGACACCATTTTTTAACCTTCAGACTGATAAAGATATATTGAGTTGGCCTGGTTTTGGGAAATAGACCATCATAAACATTGTTGGAGGGAATAAAAAAGGTAAACCTCTTTGGAAGGAAATTAATGAACCGCAATCATAATTTTATATGCATATACTGTACTGTTTTACCCAGCAATTCCCCATCTAGACATTTATGCCACAGATAAATTCACACTGGGTATGAATTGTTGTTGGAGCATTGTTTATAGTGCAAAAGACTGAGAACAGCCTAAAGATCCATCGACCGGAAGTGGTTAAAATACAGTACCATTGAAAAGAACAAAGAGCTCTATATGTGCTGATGTGGGACAATCTCCAAATAATATTGCTAGATGGAAAAAGCCAAGTGCAACGTTCCCGGTTTGGTGCAGCGCTTAGAGCAAAGGCTGTTGGGGTCGTGCGGAAGGCAGCCAATCCATGTGTCTCTCTCACATCGATGTTTCTTTGTCCCTCTGTGTCTGTCTTCTGTCTGTCTGTCTGTCTCTCTCTCCTCCCCCACCCCACCCTCCCATTGTATCTGAAGATAAATGGAAAAATATCCTCGAGTGAGGATTATAAAAAAAAATTTTTTTAAGCCAAGTACAAATGAGTGTGTGAAAGCAAGGAATACATGCAAGGCAGATGATACGCAGTAAGCACTCTGGCTCATCCCATACACCATGGGCCTTCCTTCCAGTGGTAAAATTTATGTATATATATATATATATACACACACACACACACACACACATGCAATGATAGATAGATAGTTGCTTGTTTGGCCTTAGGAAGTCTGCAGAAACTACATAAGAAATCAACCAAAGTTGGGCTCTGTGAAGAGGAACACGATGCCTGAGATTAGAGATGAATTTATTACCACTCTTAATCTTTCTGCACTATTTACATTTTTATTATTGCAACTATTGATTTTAAAAGTAATTACTCAATTATAAAAAACACTGTAAGTTCAATAACCAGTAATATTAATAGAAATTGAAGATGATTACTACATCCCTATAAAAATGCATCCCACCTTTTTTCATGTAATGGCATACATCAAAAATAATATTTGTACAGCCCACTAGACTTATCAGTCAAGGATGCTTCTCACAGCCTGAGGCTACTAGTCTGGGAGCCAGTCACTGAGGGACCCACCCACAGCCTCCCAAGGACCCAAGAGACCTTATCGCACCTGAATCCCCATCTCTGCACACCAGATGGAAAGTTATAATCAAAACAGGGAAAAATGGAAACCATCTAAACATAGAGAAATGATTAAATTGTGTATATCTACTCAAAGATGATTGAACAAATTTTTAAGATGATTAATACATTCTAGTATGTCAGCTTAAAATATTTACAACACTTATACAGTATTATTTTAACTGGGTAAAAATAAACATACATTTTGACAACACTAGAAAGATGCAAAATTTAAATAATTAAATTTGATTATAGGACTTTGTTTCTGCTTTGAAAATATCTTCAACAGTGTTACATTTGTTTCATAATATAAAAGAAAATTATATTGAGACAAAAAGTTAAGAGAAATTTCACTGAATTCAGACTATGTCTTAACCAGGGTTTTTTTTAGGGGGAAAAAATTCTAGTTCAATTATTAGAACTATTTAACTTGATTTTGAAAATTCTACATATGAATTTATTACTGGACTCTTTTACTGTGAGACTGGTTTCAACATATGGATCTTGACCAAAGAGCAGGAATGCAGTGATGCTGGTCAAACAATTTTAACTTCCAACATAAATTTGAAGTCTTACCAAAGAGACTTCAGTAGACCTAAGATCAGGCTGAATTTTGTCACACCAGTGTGTTCAGGCCACCATGTCACTCTACTGCTAAAACGCCTCCTCCCATGACGTTCAGCGGGGAGCCTGGCCTCCGTTAGCCTGGCTTTCAAGGACCTCTCCCCTTAGCAGCCCTTTCAGACTTTCCTCTGACTCCCACACTTCTGGAGAGCTCGCTTTACTGTCCCCCAAGGATAAATGTACTTGTCTCCTAGCCTTCGCCAGAATCTCCCCCCTCCGATTTCTGTCTTCTCAAGCCTTTCAAGACTTACTGTTTTTTCCATAGAGCCTTTTTAAGTGCTCCAATCCTGAGGGGCTGATATTTTTCAAATGGCAGCCCCTATTGCCTGTACCCATCATTGGACCCTGCCTTATAACATCTTTTGTACTGTTATTTAATTAATCTTGGTTCTATATCTCGTCCCTCTACATAGAAAGCAAATCCTTTGAAAGAAGTTGTACTTCATAGTCTCCTTGCACATCGTAGAAGCTTGGTGTTTATGGAAGGTCGCACCCGTGGGAAGGTAGTGCTCTGTTTATTTTAGGTACTCAATAAGTAGGTACCAAAAGAATGACTCACATTGGTGACACTGTAATAGATATGGTTTGCAGTCTGCTTTGTGCCTTTTAGGTTAAAATTATTGTGGCATGCATGTTCCCAGAACTGACAGAGGTTACATTAAAACATGACATGAATTTTAGTTTCTATGACTAATGCCATAAAAAAGGAGAATTGGGGAACTTTACAGAGAAAAGAGATATCTTAATTATTTCAATTAATGGAATAGCTCTTAACCTCAGATGTGCTCCAGAAATGTTCAGTGATCTGGTAAAGCCATAGGTGGTGACAGCTGATCCATAAAATTGCCTATACTGGCAGATAGCCTCTGTAAGAAACACTGATCATTAAATGTGAAACAATAGGTCACTGTCTGAGAACTGTAAGGCACTTTCTGTTGGAGGAAATTGTATGTTATCATTCAAAGTCATGTCATATAAGAATATTTATTGACATGGAAAAATTATCACTCTACAGCAAACTTCAAGAGCAGGCTAATAAGTGAGTGTATACACTATTACTCTGTTTAAATACACACACACACATAATCATAGCATTAAAAGAGACTAGATTGCACATGTTATGGTGGTTATCTTTGGGTGAAAAATGTATTTTCTTTTTTTTTTTATCCTCACCGGAGGGCATTTTTTCATTTTTTGTTCAGACAGAGTGGGAGAGAGAGAGGAAGAGAGAGAGAGAAACATCGACGTGAGAGGGACACATTGAGTGGCTGCCACCCGCACAGCCAACCAGGGCCGGGGACAAATTGCAACCGAGGTACATGCCCTTAGCGGGAACTGAACCCAGGTCTCTCTGAACTGCAGGCCGACACTCTAACCGCTGAGCCAAACCAGCCAGGGTGAAAAATGTATTTTTTCTTTGTGTTCTGTGTTATCTAAATCTGCATGGAGTATCCATTTCTCTCTCTTTTTTTTTTTCTATAAACTTTTTATTTTATTTTTAATTTTTTTCCTTTATTGATTTTTAGAGAGAGAGGAAGGGAGAGGGAGAGATAGAAACATCGATGAGCGAGAACATCGATTGGCCACCTCCTGCGTGCCCCCCCACTGGGGATCTGGCCCACAACCTGGGCATGTGTCCTGACCAGGAATTGAACTGGCGACCTCTTGGTGCATGGGTCAGTGCTCAACCACCGGCCATTTCT